TTTCCACAAACGAGGACACGCACAAGATCGCTGGCGTTGTTTCGTTTTTCTCGAGGTCGGACCCACATTCGTGAATTGCACCTGGTTCTGCAAACAGTTGCTTTCGATAAAGCCCTGATTGGTAGATAGATGCGATACAGGTTTAAAATTCTTTTAAGAAAAAGCAGATTAGGCTGTTAGGCCGCCCAGCCAGAAATAATTAAAAACACTGGTTATCAAACTGACGTTTCTGATGGTACAATGTGGGTTGACACGGTCGCCTATGCTGGCATTAGTGCATCCTGCGTGACAGCTTTTAAACGGCTGAACGATTCACTCAGTGTAAGGTTCCCAATACGAAACTCTGAGTGACGCGTGGTTCGACAATCCTGCGTGACAGCTTTTAAACGGCTGAACGATTCACTCAGTGTAAGGTTCCCAATACGAAACTCTGAGTGACGCGTAGGTTCGACAATTCCGAATACACAGGTAAATGTCTGCGTGTTTGCGGGCATCACTTAGCGCACCAACTGACGCGCCGCACTTCGACAAGTGGCGCAAAAAACGGAGCGACTGGACAGTGAGTGAATCAATACCCTCTGTGGCATGGTAATCCTGACGCAACTTAGCTAATGGGATGTCTTGTCATGTTCACATGTATCGAGTAGTGCATATGAACAAGGTAGGCTGCGATTGTGATATTCACATGGGAACGTCTGGAGGTGAGACTTAGCGCTCATGCTCGCCCACTTCGTTTGTAAAATAGTTAGAAGCAGAATTTCCAGACAAATGTCGTACGGTAAATCTGTGTATATGTGGATAAGGTAACGAAATTAGGAAGTTGCATATAAGCAGGCTGGCAACGAGGTGCCTTTTGGGGTGAATAATAGACCGCTCCACAACGGAGATTAGTCCGGTGATATGACACTGCTCCGGAAACCAAAAGGAACCGTTATTTTTTTATTTAGAATAATGTTTGGGAAGGACTTTAAATAGCCGCAGCTCCCGGTACAAAAATTGAATGGCCTCCACGAAACCAATAATAAATTTGTGGAGGTTCAGGGACGTGTAGTTACGCAGTGATACAAAATAGGAAGAAGCGATCCACCTGACTACAATGTCTCATCAAAACTGGGAAGGCCGACAAACCCAATCGATAATCCGTCAATATTCAACAGCATTTTTACAACCTAATCTGCCTGTCTGACGTTAGAGCTTTCAGACCTAGTGTTTCCCCATCAGCGCGAACAATCACACTCAACATCAAGGAATTTCCCATAAATACACACTGAAATCACTCTTCCGTAACCCTGAAAGTCAGGTTTCTTCGTGTTCAGTCACCATACTTATGTCGTTACGGACAATAGTTTTACGCGTCTATATTCAACGTGACTTGGAATTTGGACTAGCCACTGTACCACTCGTCATTTGGTATAAGGTTCCTCAAACCAAAAGCAATCTTTTTGTGATTATTTTGCTATTTCAACCACTCTTTGAAGATTCAGTCGAAATCGGTGATCGGTCAATCGATCGTCACAACCAGGACAGTTACTGGGTCGTCGTTCGATGAGTCGGGCACGCCAATCACAACGCTCAAGTGTGAACACGTTCGCCTGTTCAAACGTGATAATTCAGATGCGTCCAACGTGCGTTGGTGGAGTAGTGGTTACACGCTCGCCTCGCATGTCCGATGTCCGGGGTTCAAGTCTCGGCACGGCCATTGGATATGCACTGCTTATGAGCTCTAACAAGAGCGAAACTCGAGTCCAGTGCCTCCCTTTGGTGGGGACTCACCGGAATAATTAGGCCAGAACAGGAACACGGCCGTTCAAACGAGAGTGGTGTGATTATGAACAAGATTCCAAATAGGTTCGACAGCCCTGTTGGGCCTTAACACACTCGTTGCTTTTGACTGTTAACAACGAGATCCTGTTGGCGCTTCTGAACCGAATTCCGCTAGTGGAACGGTGACACTACTGATGGGGGATACATATGAGTAGTATGTTTTCTTGTAAATTCGCTCCGCGTCTTCTTGAAAGGGGAAATCTATTGCGGAATTCGTGGTGTCGCTTTGTAGCATTTACTTGCAATTGAGTAACAGGAAAATTCAGGAAGACGCGTTCAAGAGAAGATGGATGTCTAGTTTTTGTAAATAAGATGCATAAGAGAGTTTTGCCTCCCTGTCCAATAGTCGGTAACTGGTCAGTTGGCATTTTCTACTAAATAACTCCTCAGTGAGGGCCATCTTCCTTTCACTAGTACATGCACATGGGAATCTGACTGTTAACGCCGTCGCCAGCAGGCTTACTGTGTTTCGGCCAACCGAACGAAGATTTGCTTAACCAACTACCCCGATATCCAGAGCTTATTCTACCAGAGGAGAGAAGAAGCAGGGTCTGCTGAGCTCAATAGGTCGTGGAAATAATTATACTAAGGAAACTGTGGCCTTCCTTTGGATGACCGCACAGCACTGTTCCAAAACACCTAGATGACAGGCCAGGTTGTGCATTGCCGTCATCGGATTGGAGTTTGATTGGGCCGAATACATGGAGAAGTTGGACGCACGGTAGCTCAAAAGGCAATATGCTCCAAGGTTTGAAAAAGCTCACTACTGGGATGCTTCCTAGGTTATCTGGGGGTTGTCCACCATATTTGTGTCACACTAACACCGATGTCGACCGGATCTAATCATGGTCGATGCTTTCTTAAGGTTCTTGCTGATCAACGGGTCGGTAGATTGCAACAGCTTTCACTCCAGTCTGTATTTCTACGTTTTTTTGGAAGCCACCTCACCCCTATACGCCATGTGTTCTCACGGCTGGTTTCATCAGTCCGATTTTCATGGGCCTCGCATGTCCGATGTCCGGGGTTCAAGTCTCGGCACGGCCATTGGATATGCACTGCTTATGAGCTCTAACAAGAGCGAAACTCGAGTCCAGTGCCTCCCTTTGGTGGGGACTCACCGGAATAATTAGGCCAGAACAGGAACACGGCCGTTCAAACGAGAGTGGTGTGATTATGAACAAGATTCCAAATAGGTTCGACAGCCCTGTTGGGCCTTAACACACTCGTTGCTTTTGACTGTTAACAACGAGATCCTGTTGGCGCTTCTGAACCGAATTCCGCTAGTGGAACGGTGACACTACTGATGGGGGATACATATGAGTAGTATGTTTTCTTGTAAATTCGCTCCGCGTCTTCTTGAAAGGGGAAATCTATTGCGGAATTCGTGGTGTCGCTTTGTAGCATTTACTTGCAATTGAGTAACAGGAAAATTCAGGAAGACGCGTTCAAGAGAAGATGGATGTCCAGTTTTTGTAAATAAGATGCATAAGAGAGTTTTGCTTCCCTATCCAATAGTCGGTAACTGGTCAGTTGGCATTTTCTAATAAATAACTCCGCAGTGAGGGCCATCTTCCTTTCACTAGTACATGCACATGGGAATCTGACTGTTAACGCCGTCGCCAGCAGGCTTACTGTGTTTCGGCCAACCGAACGAAGATTTGCTTAACCAACTACCCCGATATCCAGAGCTTATTCTACCAGAGGAGAGAAGAAGCAGGGTCTGCTGAGCTCAATAGGTCGTGGAAATAATTATACTAAGGAAACTGTGGCCTTCCTTTGGATGACCGCACAGCACTGTTCCAAAACACCTAGATGACAGGCCAGGTTGTGCATTGCCGTCATCGGATTGGAGTTTGATTAGGCCGAATACATGGAGAAGTTGGTCGCACGGTCGCTCAAAAGGCAATATGCTCCAAGGTTTGAAAAAGCTCACTACTGGGATGCTTCCTAGGTTATCTGGGGGTTGTCCACCGCATTTGTGTCAAACTAACACCGATGTCGACCGGATCTAATCATGGTCGATGCTTTCTTAAGGTTCTTGCTGATCAACGGGTCGGTAGATTGCAACAGCTTTCACTCCAGTCTGTATTTCTACGTTTTTTTGGAAGCCACCTCACCCCTATACGCCATGTGTTCTCACGGCTGGTTTCATCAGTCCGATTTTCATGGGTAACTTGGGCTAAATGACTCAAATTCACAATGAATTACCCCAATGATTGGGCTTCATTCCAGGAGCGATTACAAACCCTGGTATTTAGCCTGTTATACCAAGAAATATCATGTAAAACTTTGACCTGAAAAGTGTAGAAAAGCAACAGTGACAGAGACGCTGAGGCAAATGTTGGAAATCAGCACTTTCTCCGGAAGTACAATCTAACCAAAGCGTTCTTTATTTCCTTATGGATGAATTGAAATATGATCCTAAGAACAAGCGAACTAATTTTTCCATTTTCGTAAGGCCAATATGACTGGCTGGGGCCGAAATCGATCAATATAGTCGGGCGGGCAATGTAGACAGGCACGTTACTAAATAACACATCCAGGCTCATTTGGTCTGTTTCAGAACCATGAGTGTTGTCGGCTTTGTCTGCTCATGTTGTCGATTTGGAATGATGCGTTAGCTAAACACTTGGAACAGACAGACTTCCAGCAGTTAACTAAAGTCACGTAATCAAACCCGCGAGGGTCAGACGTTTTGTTTCATAACCGGTGAATTACTGTGAGAGTAAGTGGGTTGCAATCGCATGCATGTTGAAATTATTTGGTGTCTTTTATTGATTTGTTGAACCTCGACCTTTCAGAATATCTTAGGCGTGTTCACCCACATTTTTGATAATCTACTCCGTATTCTACTGAAGTACGTAAATCTGAAACAGTGGTAAAACGGGGAACGACGTACAAGTAATAGGTGAGTAAATACCCTGATTTCGTTTTCCCCTTGATAGTTTAAACCAATGGAATTAATACAACATTATGAGCATTATCAGGGTCGAAATTAGCTGCGGGTGAGAAGAGTTTTGACGCTCAACTCTAGGCTTTGGTATGAGCTGTTCCTCACATTTCTAAACTCACAGGTTCACTCGAGCAAACCATTCACAAATACCTTTCTTCTTATTGAACTTTTTGCCTTCTGATGTGTCTCATTCAACTGGTGTGAATTCCCCCCTGGTCAACAGGATTTCGAAAGAATCACAGTGCTTCCTCCAGCCAGCATGATTCAGAGGAAACCGTCTCCTCTACCGATTTGAATGAAGAACATAATACCGGGAAACCGTTCAGATTTGCCCTTCCAAAGTATCACAGCTCCAACACCGATCTGAATGGGAGTAGTACTGCTTTCTCTGATCCGGAATCAGAAAGACATTCATCGGCATTCCGGCATCCCAGTCACCGTCGTCAAGTCTGTACGATTGTGGGTCCGCGCTATCGCTGTCGAGAGAACCATCCACCTTGTCGAGTAATCATACAGCAGCCACGAATCGATTTAAGTCAAATGGTCCTTGTTCCTTTTGATCCCGACGCATGGAATGGTCCTGTCCTTAAACCGCGTAGTTCCCTTAAACCCGAAGAACTGACTCAGATATCACTGGATCATCAAAGCTCAGAGTATCGATTCCCTGCTCACATTGCTTTAACGGACGTTAGATCTGATTCAAGGCAGTCCACACCGGCTTCGAGGGCAACAGTCGCAACGCATTCTGCCATTTCAAAGATGTCCGCATTGTCATATGATTCTGACGGTGGAACTAGTAGAAAGAGTAAGTGCGAATTTGGTGTGTCATTCTCGGTTGACTTGCTTGCTGTCTTTGAAACACTTCCGATTAAACATGGCAAGCTAAGTCCTATGGAACATCAACTTTCCTCGATGCACTTGGTGGTGTCATCTCATCAACACCACACTGCTCCAATTACAACCGGTTCATTTCTAACTAGTTCGTTGCTTGAAGTTTCCTCAAACAATCAAATCACTCTAAAAAGAGACCACGTCCGGTCAGTCAATTCAAGTGGGTTGTGTAACAAACAACTATATTAGTGCTTCTGGCGATGTTACGGAATAAAGTTAGATCGGGTGGGCTGCTCTGTTTTCGGTCTGTTTGTCGAGCTTGCCAGTTAAACTGCGAGCGTTCCGCCACCAATCAAGGCGGCATCGTTGTTGGGTGGATAAATTCCTCCCCTTTTGCTTCTGCTTGTCTGGTATCTAAACAGCATCTAATATCTCTAATGTGGCTGATCGGTCGCAAGGTAACTTTCGCGTAATTTGATTGGTAATTTCAGTTCATTCCAGATCGATCAATCAAATCACGTTGGAAATACTAGATACCGTTCAGAAACCCTATAAGCCCGACCAGAAGAGGAGGGTTTTACACACCACACTTACTAGGTCATCTCTATCGGTGATGAAACGTTTGTAAACCCAGCTCGGCCAACAGACCAACAACTCAGTAATCCTTCATCAAAACCGGGAATCATGCATAGACATAATATTTCGAGAGCTGAGCGAGGTTCCCTATGATGTTTAGGATATGTGATATGAAAGAGCATTTCTCTTACCCCAGTGAAATTATACCAATGTTCAAATATTCCAAGGTCAAAAAGGACCACACATTATGTGCAGTGCTAAATTGCTCTTCCACTTTTCTGTTTGATTCCACTGATAGCAAGTCAAAGCAGCGGGACAGATTTGTCGGTCAAGCAAACGCATAGAAGACTCATCGGTAGGATTTTGAAGTGAGTTATTCGTTTGCTGTCTCTTCTGCGTGCACTGGGAACCCACCAAGGCAAGAGCTTCCACACCATACTTAATGTACTAATGAAAAGGTTTTGCACCTCATACTCATCAACCAAATGAGCTCACTCATCTTCGTTCCTTCTTTATTCTTTTGTAGACTTGTGAAAAGCGGAAGGCATCGTCGATTCAGTCACACCGAGCTTAGCGTAAGCACTCAGACCGACCCACCCATAGTCCAACAGCCAAGCCCTCCAGATCCTGCAGCCACGAAGCCTGGCTTGGTGAATAAGCTATGCGTGGATTCTCAAACTGCTCAGTGTGGTCTTGGAGACGAGCAGGCCCATCAACTCACCAGCGTACCAAAAACCCGCACTGACCTTTTTACTCAAGCTCCTATCTCATCTGGCTCCAACGTCTCTTGCGCAACATTCAATACCATGAGCAGAAACCCGTCCGTGTCACAAAATCCAGACGCCTTCGACCCTGATCACACAGAGTAAGGCAAGCTGATGATGGCGCGTAATTCTTTTGCTCCACTGTCCATTCAGAAAAAAATTCCCCCTAAAGGCGAAAATTCCCCTCGAAAGGATACCCGTCCTGTTCTCATCTGAATAACCTTGTGATCTGTCACAGATTCAGGACTTAACAGCGCAACACACTGTTATTTGAGGTTATTTGACGAGACAAACTCAGCCACATTGAAGACTGGCTGAATGAGGGGTCTTTTTATTGTTTAAGCGAAGCATAATCCTACCAGAACTCTGAATTTTCCGATAACCCATAATTCAATCACTAAAAAGCCTCAAACGAACAGTATCGTGACGATAACTGTCAATGAGGTCGCGCCATAGGGTATTCCAACTTCTCTGTAAATTTGTTCTACTTAATAATACTCAGTAGCACAAAGTGGTGAAGCTCCCACCACGGCCCGGAGTAGTATACTTGCAAAGTCAGTCTGTCGACCAAAAGCTACGAAGATCGCTGTGATAATCGGAATTGACCTTGAAGAATCCGCAGGCGTTCAACCGAAATAGGGAAAAGATTGAAACAGGAAAATCTACCAAACGATAATATTCCAGACAACCATGATTGTTTACGTCAGTGTGCGTAAGAGTAGCGCAATCGAATTTACTTTGACTTGTGTTGTCAAAACTCTTTGTGAATTGAAGTTTGTAACTGCGGTCTCTCCACAGATCGAAGGCACAGGATCACGTCTACAGTACTGCCAATTCGGAACCAAACGAAGTCCATGGGGCGTCTATGTCAGGGCTGTCAAGAACAGTTCCCTCACTGCCCAGGGGAAAAGACGATCGAACCGGTCGACCGAATCACCCTTACGCCGACCTGTCTTTTCACCAACCTGCTGAGGTGGTCACCAACCGTCCCGGAAGTTGTGCCAAAGGCGTCCAAACTACTTTTGTATTCCCAACGGTGAACCTTGCCCAAAGCTCAATCAATCGTCTATTTGACACCGATGCCAGCTCTTGCTCGACAGCCTATGAATCTGTTCTGGAGGTGAGGTTGAAATACTTTTTTGCAGTACTTGTAATGACTTACTACTATGACAACGGGTCATTCTGTAAATCAACTGACTCGTATTCCTGTGACTTTGAACTTTCAGTTCCTTGAACCGACAGAAACTGGCACTTCGTCACCGAAGCAGAAAACCAGTAGGTAAGTCACGTATCGGCAGGTCTCCTGTGTGCAATCAGATCAATATGTCTACGCTCAGAGCCAAGCAGAGGAGCAAAGAAAGGTCCTAAATGAACGGTATTGTTCAAGTGGTCTTTACGCAGAAATACCGCCGGTATGAACTCCATGCAGCGAACCATCAACTCACGTGACTTCACAGTAAAGACCCTAGGCTAACTGTCACGGGCAGTGGCTGGCAGCGACTGGATAGCATGATATTTGATGGTCACGTTTGGCTGAGATCATTTTCAGACCGTCCTTGATGTTCTGAGGGCATCGTCTATCTCATTCTTCTGTTGCATCAGTTCTTATCACTTTCAAGGTTGTGGCGATCCACTTTGACTCCCGAATTGTAACAACCGTCGAAGATGAAATAGACAAAACACTTGGCGTGCAACTACCCCGCGGTTTTACGTTGTTGCCCGAAGATAGTTAGTCGGTCGTCGATTAGCAAACAAACCTGGACGGACAACCATCTTCATCAGTGAGATTGGGAAACTAGAACAAACAGTTCACCGGTTGACTAGAATTTCTGTCCATTCCCGGTGTTCGAATTGTGCTAACATGCTCGATCTGTAGAGTAATGACAAAACTGATGGTTCAGCTGTAACACGCATTCGGTGCCTAGCTGCGATGCCACCCTAGGGGAACAGGAGAACAGAGGTACTTTCAGGCCGCCCAAGCCTAGACGGGAGCAGGCGAGATACTGGGGTTGGGTTCGAACCACGGAACTTCTGGTCACACTGAGCTCAGTAAACCCATAAGTGGGTATTATGTGGAAAATTAGTCACGTTGAACTCACGTGGCTTATCCACATGACACACTCATCTTGTGAGTCCATGGGATTTCCTCACTGCATCACATAACTCAATAACGGTAAGACTAGAGTCTGACAGAGAATTCTCTAAGCGAATTCATCCAAAAGCAACCTTTCGGACGCGTGATATGATTATGTTACTGGCCCGTAATCACCGAAACGGTTAGATAGATAGATAGCTAGACTAGGCGAAATAAGGAAGTGACCGCCCCGCCCTCGAATTCCATTGGAAATACAGGCAGTCTGGCAGAAAAAGACACCATTCAGGCCACATTTGCCTTCCACTGAGAGTCAAGAGGCCAAATCACGCGATGAGAATTGGCGCCTGTAGGAGTTTAGCAACCTATGCGATTTGACAATACTACTACCTACAGATGACGGAGTTATTCGTTTTTTTTTCACGACTAGTTGGATGAAACAAACTTGACCCAAAAACTTTCCCCTTCCTTACAAAACATTGCCGTCTTCCACAACCTTGCTTAAGGGAAGTTTACGAAGACGCGGAAGCACTTTATCGCTACCTGGCAGATATGAAACGGCAGTCGGGTCAACAGACACCACAAACAAACGACAATGATAGCCCCGAAAGAAGCACAACCCCCAATTGTCAAACATCATCTTGAGAACTCCAACGTTCCCTGACTCGATATTCTGCCCCGAACTGTCTTTCCGAACTGTCACTGGCAAACGCCAACCACAATGATTATCGATTTCCCGCCCTTTTCTTCTATAACAAAACTCCTTTTATCGTAGTCTGTTTCTGTGATTACTTTCCTTGTCTGACGACGGGGATCAGAGCATCAAGCGTCTTTGAGTTTCGTCGCATTCTAACTTCAAGTCTGTCCGGAAATCGATGAAACCTGTCTTTCTTCCATAACTTGTCAAGCCCCGACAACAAATCTCACTACTCTGTGTTAGATCGTCTATTATTCTTTCATGCCCCAAGTCCCTCCTCAAATCGTTGGCTACTCTTTACACAACTGTGATGACTCACCACCGAATTCGATCTAATAGGTAACCTGTTGTGAGCCCTAGATTGATCACTTTATCAACTTATGTCATACAAACTTTTCTCTCTCGTTCTCCGTTTATTCGCCACTGTATATTGGAAAAAACATTGCCTCTCGCTATATACGAAAAAACCGCTTGTTGGTCTGATTTGGCATTGGGAGTAACCAGAACACTGGGATTCGTACGTCAACTGTCGTTCCCCGAGATTCTGAATTGCACACATTCCAATGAACCAGTGTCCTAAACAGTTTTGTGCACATGGTACTACGTCACTGAGGTAACCATGTTTTGGAACGAATAGGTGATCAATCATTGTTGTATTGTGCGGTGGCCGAGCTATTGGTTACGCCTGCACTGAGCTGCCAAACTAACGCGATAGGGAGAAGACCGAGAACTGGGGACACGGCTGTATTGCCAGGACAAAACATACAGAGCGTCTGCGTAAATATATAGGATGACTAATTGGCCAAATATGGTCGTTCAGTTGTTCGCTCCGTACAGCCAATGGTTGTGTTCCGGTCATGAACATTCTCAGGCCCACTACGCTGGTCGTGTGTTGCTAAGCCTTGTTGCATGGGGGCCGCCAACTCACCTACTTTCCGGACGTGTCGAACCGATGATGACCTTGGGGATGCGTCACTCTCTGCACATGTATTTTTTCTTCTGTCTGGGCGCGCCCTGACAATCATCTTACCTTTTGCAATCCGCTTTCAGTTTTAAACCCAGTGAACGAATAAAACCCGTTGGCTACTGTTCTATTCAGCACCGAACAGATATGATAACGTTAGGTTGCCTGCGCATACTAGGGCACGGTCGGGTCAATGGTTCACGATTTGAAATCCGCGAAAGAGGATCCTGAGTGCTGATCACCGGTAAACCGTTACTTTTAACCTGAAGCTTTCACAACGCCCACTGTCAAGTTTTCTACCACATACAGATGACTGCAGTAAAGTTGTACCTGTTGGATGAAAGGAATTCAAGGTGTTTGCAGCACCTAGAAATGCTTCAGGGAAAGAATTCGACGTAGCAACCCTGTCTCGACTCACAGGTCTCATGTTGGATCTGGGTCACAGCCAAGGTCATTTCGTGATCAGCCCGGCCAGTCGGTTCTGTCCATACAACAAAATGGGGTGGTAGCTTCGCCCTTTCCTTGGCGCAAGGTAACAGATAACTCACACAACATGAAATTTTAGCTCTTGCACACCCACATAGTCATCTTTTGATTCCTTAACCTCCTAAGAGAAATTAGAGGGTCACTTACGCACAGACAGAACAAAGTATGTATTGTCAACGGACTACGCAGATACCACATACCTCACCTGTGTTAATGAACGTACCATGGTCGCTTTTGTTCACAGGCTGCCGCCAAGATGGATGAGTCCCCTTATTCACACTCGAAGGACTTGGTCTAATTTCTTTGTAGAAGTAACCGATCCGGTGTGAATGCAACATCAAGTGAAGCCACCTCACATCCAAGTCTATCCGTTTTACTTCGGGTACTCGAAACTTTACACAGAAATAATTGCTGATTAAAATAAATAGTTCAACTGCCATGTCACACGAAGGAGGAACGAGGGGTCAAGCACAGGTGGCAACAGCCGAGATGCACGGGTTGGGTGCGAAACACGGTCCTTCAGACAGTAAATTCACGCCTTAACTACTGGACTTTCCACAGAGGTGCCAGAAGACAGCTTGTAAAAATCTATCGTCTCGAGGGCTGAAAGTGACATCTAAGACTGGGTTCTTCCAGTCGTAAAACGGATTGGGGACGGAAACACAGTGATGTTCGAGGAGAAAATATAGTTCTTCTGCGATTTCATAAACCCAGCGGTTCATTAAGTCACGGATTGACAAAATACATCTCAGAAACTCTTGAGCACCACAAGGTTCCACATTCACCCAAGACCAATCGCGGTCAAGCGATAATCGTATGGCGCTTCAGCTATGGGCTGCGCATTAGAAGTACCTTGGTGGGAATATACACTCATTTGCAAACTAATTTGCTTCCTCGAGAGACTCACCTGGAACCCAGCTGAATCTCTCGTTTGGGATGTTCTCAGGCAACTGAATGTGCTGCACCAGGCCGCCTCATATTTCAGTCGCTACGATATTCGAGATATCGCGACACATTTATCTCTTTGTAATGTAGTACTCACAAGTTTTCTGAAATCCATCGACAGCCCAGGACCGGTTTCGCCCTTTTTGGGGCTCATCAGGTAGGTGCAGTTACCTGAAAACATCACAAACAAGAGATTCAGCTGGGTTCCAGGTGAGTCTCTCGAGAAACCAAATTAGTTTGCAAATGAGTATATATTCGCTAATTTTGTGCAATTTGGTTTCAAGTAGAATATAAAGTTGACGGAAACCCGGGGACTACGCCTACCTGATGAGCCTCCAGAAGGGCGAAACGGGTCGTGGGCTGTCGACGGATCTTCAGCAACCTTATGAGTAGTACATTACAAAGATACCTTGGTGGAAATTAATACATTTTCGGTATTCCTCGAACTAGAATAGGATCACTATGCATAAATAGTGACGAACTAGCCAGATCGTTGGGGCCGAATCATTTTTTGGCTCAAAAGATGGCTGTTATTTACGCATGGAAGACGATAAATCGACACAGGGGTGTTATATGCTACCCAGTTGACCAACCTTCATCTAATTTCCCCAGAATTCCCACCCAGCCTGAAAGATCGCAGGAGTCGATGCGGCGTTCATCATTCAAGTATTTCATACTCTGCTGCCAAGTCAGGTTTTGCTGTATGAGACGAACACATGCATATAAGCTCATTACAACTTTTGAGCATGCAAGAAGCCATGTGATCAAACCAGTGTAGCTCACCCCTTTACACAATGAGTATCATCTTCCAAAAACCAAATTAGGCAATCCAGATCCAATATTCCAGACCGTCTAGCGATGACTATATGCGTACATACTGGTCATAGGAACCTCGTCTCAATACCTCAGAGCGAGCAATACTGCCGTGTACATTGTAACACTGACAAACGAACGAAAGTAACGCCAGCACGATCACCGTCATCAGTATGGACAATAAAACATCGATATCTGACTGATACTTCGTGGCCGTAAAATCACAATTCATTTGGAAGCCTTATCGCGGAAAGGGAATTGGTATTAGCTGACTACAATCATTCTGAGGTACATACGCCTCCAGACACTCAATCAATCTCGATAGAAATTGACAGTGAAAATGTCACTGACATCGATTAGCAGCAATATCTTGTAACGTTCTCATCTGTGAACAGGATAATCATGCGGATCCTATCGTGGAATCCGAGTCGCACCAAGGCTTGACAGTTTTTTTTTCACAGCCCAAAAACAGTGCTTCGAAGTGCACTGGTTCTAGCTACCACAGTTTCCTTCAAAAATGAGAGCCACGCGTTGGAGACGATGACGTAATTCGTCCGTTGTCCAGTACGACAGGAAGTGTGAGCTACGCAGTGGAGGCAAAAGCTTTCATGCAAGATCTCCATTGGCCGCCTGGCATATTTCTATCCGTCAGGGTCGTGGTCTCCATCCGGCGTTTACCAACGCGACTGAGTTGACTGGTGAGGGCTTTGCTGTCAAGTCGTGAACTGACCGGCTATTGACCACCTCCGTCTGATGCAAGGCTGGGCGAAGAGGGCACCACGAGGCAAACGGTGCCTTGGCACACAAAGCATATAGCCTAACCAGCACGCGTGACCAGCTGATCAATCGAGGGAGCTTTTCCGAAAACCGCCTGATCTAAGGTTCCCATCAAACTTTCACAAGGCTTCGGAAGCATTGATCCAATGACCTTGCACACTCAGCGGTCCTCTCTGATCCATATATCAGGCTAGATCGGACTGTGGCATTGCACGCTCTACCCTTGGCAGTCTGTCCCAGTTTGGAAAGTGATTTCTTCATAAACCAATCCACCGGGACTTATGCAACTTTCCAGGCTAAGTAATTTACCTACCAAACCCATCAGTCCACCTGCAAACATAAGCTTTGGGTTTGATTCCACCCAAGAATGCAATAACACTTTACAAGTTCAAAATGCGTACCGAACCATGCAACAGAATTATTTGGATTACTTGACATCGGTGTAATAGACGTCCATGAGCAAAAGCCCCTAAAGTGTTTCGTCCATTAGAGGAGGCACATAAGGAGACAAGAATTCAGAGGGGACACCCTTCACCACTAGGTCAAACGTTGACTTGCATGTACCACCTTGTATTAGGCACGAAGAACAAAATTGTTTTCGGCATGCACAAAACATGACCAAACCACCGCAGCTTTCCACACTCGGCAAATTTTTCGACTCAAGTCCCTACGGCACAACCGAACACTCGCCTTCTAATTGTCTCGTTGTAAATTCGCCGGCACCGCTTACACGAACTGACGAACTGGTTGAAGACCTGAAGATATCTCAGTTCGGCTACTCGTAGATGCCACCTATCACAGAAGTAAGTCAGTACTATGTGTACCGAAGCCAGTTAAAGTCGCCCTGGTTCATGAGTACATTCACTTTCCACTTTAACGGCTCTTGTGCTATGACTCAGGTGAACAGATTGGCTGTGACTGGGATGGCTCTAGTTAGAGCGCGAATTTACCGACCGGAAGGTCCGTGGTTCGAACCCGACTTCCCTTTGGGCAACCTAGCAGTATCCCAGCCCTCATGCTTTCTTCTGGTAGCATGGCAGTTCGGCGCCAAAAGGGTGCTACACCTAAAGGAGATCGGCTCATCACATCGAATAGTTGGTAGTTGGATCCCACCAGCCACGTGGTGGCACCGTACACATTGTGACTGAGGTACACGCCAAACCGTGAGCCGAGATGGTTAGCTAGAATGTCTCCATCGCCATCCAGACTGGATGTGTGTGTGTGTAAGAGAACGCTTCGGGAGCGTTTCGAATCTGAGGTTGTCAGAGGAAGATTGAGGTTTCCAGCGTGATGCAGAGATGAGGCAACCTTATCACCAATGGGCGTTTTCACATGGATCGGTACACATTCACGGCAGCAGTGTAAAAGGGATGACCTCGATTTCGAGGTCAACAGAGTCAGCCGTGGTTGGATCTTCTCAATGTCATGTCAGCTAGACTCCCCCTATAAACACACAGTATTTCACATGGGGTAACCCATCCAAATAGTACTGAAGAGTGGCAAAAAAGGTGTACATTTCATCCAAGTCTTGAAAGTGACGAACTGTTTTGACTGACGTTCGCAAAACAGCACGAACGGGAGAACAGTAGCGGTAGTTACAGTAGCATTGAAGTTTTCAATAACAGCGCTCCCCATAAACGAATCGGAGATTGCGTAGAATATAAAGTAAAGAAATCACCAATGATCAATCATTACTGGATGGACGTCACCTGCAAATGGTGTGGTTGTGTGTGTGTGCGCTGTGTGCAAATTTACATAAGTAAACGACCACGGGAGAGATAAATAATAACAAATAAAATCGAAATGGCAAGATGAGGTGAAGTAGATCGCAACGAGAGACAGCAAGAAAACCCAGAGAGAGGGGACGGACAAATTGGAGAGAAGGAGTTGGACATAGTCTTTCTGTACAAGTCGGCCATATAAGTATCATCAAAGCGCACTTGGTCTGTTCGTCACAAGTGGCCATCATCGTCATCTGGCTAAGTGGCGCTCAGACAGTGGTTAAAAACATAAAAAAGGAAAAAAATAATCTGATGCTCATTCACACGAGGCTTGCATTTTGTCGATGGAACGTACGTAACAAACAAGTTCCGCCTGGAACGGAATAATTGTAGTACATTACCACAAATCGTGATTAAATGCAGCAAGGTAAATTGCCTGGGGAAGAAAAACAAAAAATGACAGTGAGGAGATCACCCTGTACATGCACATTCAAATTAGAAATGGCAGCTCCAAACGCGTGCATCATAGAGTGAAAATTCGGAGAAACAAAAGAGATGGCGCAATTCGGGAAGGCGATCGATTGAATTCCAGTTGAAAGAGTTCATACGGTGGGCACACTCAGCTAACAGAAGTGCATGGGATAGACGGAGAACCCAACTGACGAAGGACACAGTCCAACCATTTGAGTGGTCCATTTAGATGGATCTCAACCCAACAGGGCGTGCTGGTGATAGTCTGGCGACTGGAAAAGGGATGGACATTGTTCAGATTTGCGACATTCGTTTTGACTACTGCGAATATACGAGTAGTTAGAAATTACACTAAATATATAAGGACTGCAGCGTTGCTTACCGATATTCAGCTCCCCAACCTTTAACAAAGCTGATACGGATTGCGCACATGTGGGTTAGCGCGAAAACCGCTTCGTACCCTCTGGAAATGCACTCAACCAACTGATTTGCAAACGTCCGGCTGTCGAATAACTTCAAATTACACTCTGAAAACCAAACCAGGAATGAATATTAGTGAAGGAGGCTCATCTAGCGGCTCCTTTATATGACACGTAAACGTTAGTGAAACGATGTATGAAGCGAACCGAACACGAGTACTCACCAGTCGGGATACCTGCTCAAAATTATTCCGCTGCATACGCATACTAATTTCAACTAATTAAAACCAAGTAGTATTCCCGATGATGCTCAGGAGTAGCCAAAATTGCACTAAACTTGGAGGTACATTGTCTGGAGGGGAACAGTTTGGGCTCAAGCAGGAGATCAGGTTGATGGAAACTCGGGGAGTACGCATACTTGATGAGCCAAAAAAGGAGCGCAACCGAGGCCTTGAGCTATCGAGGAGCTTTCAGCAACCTTATGGTTAATGTGTCCCACCTAAAATACGCAGTGCTCTCCTACACTATCAAGACTGACCAGAATCGCGTTCCTCCTGGAAGCGTACTATCTTCTGCGGTTGGGAGCAAGAGCTCCCAGCCACATAAGTTTGAGATTTTGCGCACAAATTCGGTAAGCAACCAACTGTACCAATAAGATAACAGTAAGGTTTCAGAGACGCTGGGTGAAAAACTGGTCGATTTATTGCTGGGAAACGCTTCAATTTTGACACAAAAGCTTCGTCAGCTCAAGTGAGTAAACAACCAGGTTGAGTGAAAACAGCAGGGTGTTATTGTGGTAATCTCCTGAGATTATAATGGTACCTGGAAAACAGACAGACAACGAGGAAAATAACTTGGTGCTCAAAGCATAGATCAGGGCTGAAACTGTCTCGTGATGCATGCGCTCGATGCTTGTTGAACAAGGTGGCACATCAATGGATCAAGATGTGTTTTTTGGAAAACGGAACGCTTTCGGCGTGGGGTATCAAGTAGTCTAGTGGTTTTTGTCTTCATGACAGACTGCTCTTTGCTTTCCATCTATGCAACTGTCTTGTTGCACACGAATTTGTTAAGGTAACCAATGAATTATACTCAAAAGGATCTGCTCCTGTTCTAACACCCATCTACTCCTTATGACACTAGTATGTGCTTTGGTGCATGTGAATGCACTCTAAACTGTGTTTAAAAGCCCAATTCTGAGGTCTGGGTGAGTCCCGTGTCCAACAGTGTAGTACTTTGAAAGGTATTCAGCAGCACTTCATGTTGGGTTACGTGCACTTCTTACTCAGTCATGCACTACATTTGGTCTCAAAAACCGAGGCCACAGACGGGTGTCTCGTCGATCAGTAGACTCTGTTAGGCGAAGGTGTATGGGATAGGCACCATTAAACTTCATCCAAGGAATTGGCTTTCGTGTTGTGACAGGTTCGGTGACCACACAAGCACGTCATTCGCAAGTGAATCGAGTAATACTGAGTCCATCACTTGTGAATACAAAACACCTATGTTTCCTTCCAACCAACCAGCAGAAATGAATCTCCTAAAACCTGTAGTATATCGTTCAGCAGTAGCACCCTTTCGGTGCCATGCCACCCGAAGGTTGCATGAGGGCTGGAATATTGCCAGGTTGCCCAAGCCTAGACAGGAGGAAGTCGAGAGACAGGGGTCGGGTTCGAACCACGGACCTTCCGGTCAGTAAATTCGCGCTCTAACCACTTGGACCATCTCGCCCCAAACCTGCAATCCGCCTTCTTCAATCGTGATATGGATATTGCGGCAACAAAGTACTACTGTTCAAAATTTTTCAAAAGTAAGAGACAGTCCCGTAAATTTACTAGGGAGAAATGCAACGCTCAACAAATAACGTCTCTATACGTAGGGGCATCCGTTTTCAGAAGAGCACGCGCTCAACCGCTGTGTGCGGGACAAGAACTACGGATAAGTATGAACAATAAACTGTCGGCTGGATATCTTCCAACTTATCCGATAACACGAAAGTTTGCACAATCACATGCTGTGGTACGTGTGGTGCAATGATCACGGCGTTGGTTCAATCAACGATCGCAATACAGTGTCACAAGTGCTGTCAATCCACCAAGAACCGTGCGAGCAAATAGAAGATTCTTCAGGTATTCAGAGTGATGACTAAGCCAACCCATCCAGAATGACTAGTTCCCTTTCATGGAAAATTCGATCATTACCAATGAGTATCCACTTGTAGTAAGGGGAATACCTAAGCTCATTTATCGGTCTGAACCTTCCAAGCTAACGTTTCGTCAAAAGAACCACCAAGCTATTGAACGCCATTAAATCAGGTGAAAAATACATGTGCGTCGTATTTAAAGTATATCAGGGGACAATATCTTGGAAATTCCGACGCATTCTAGATGCGATATTGGCAACCGGCATTCGGCAGCTGCTGAATCACGATTGGTTGTTTGGTCCACGCTTTCGGCCAATCAGAGCTCGCCTTGATACTGGACCGGCAAGCACTCCGGTCTTCTGTCCAATCGCGAGCGGGTTGGGCTTTTTGACCGCAGCAGCGTCTAACTGTGACTGGCGAAGCGGTTTTGAGGCGGCAGTCCGCTGAACATCCATATACATTACTTTCACTGTGCAGAGAGGTACAAGTTCAGAGCTCTTTATCAAACACCAAATCGCTTCTGTAGACCCCCAAGAGATGCGTGCCGCTTCGTTGGAAAACTAGCACTCCCTGTCTGCTGGTAGCGTGGTTCCTTGAAATAAGCATGCTACTCTATGGCGTTCTAAACTAGACTATACTAGATAACGGCGCGCTTCAGCACGCTATACTACACTATTCTAGACCACCTACCTAGCTCAGTGGAAACAAGCCGATGATTAGCAAACAATAGCAAACGAAAAGAGGAATAGACTCACTTGGAGGGACCTTCACTACAGTGGCCGGATGCCAGTTGTGGTAGTGATTGCAGCTGGGGGACTGGACGAAAATTGCGGCGTCGCTCAGACATTCCAAATATACTTCGTTACCAACGTGATGCAGACGAAGACCACGGCCTGAAAGCGGCAGCATGAGATGGGATGCATGAAAAAGCTGAGCTGTTTGGCAACGAGTCACGATAATACTTCCTAAGAGAGACCCCGAGCAGTGAAGAGAGTACATTTGCGCCCTTGTGATGGCTTTCCTCTAGAAGGAAGGAGAGGCATACCGGGACTCTCCAGCAGAGGATTACCAAAGTCTGCCCGTAGTGGTCTGAACGGTGACTGGTTCAAGCGGAATGGAATGATGTAGTGTACACTCAAGTCCGTCAAATGTACCACCCCATGGTCTGTGAGAATCTGGGACTTGGGCGATATGTGTACTTGATTTGTATGAGTTATTTGTCTATGACTGCATGGACGCGCATACTACTGGTAGAACATGTGAGTAGTAACTGGTTGGAGCAGATTATTGAGCCGTCCCTGAAGTGTTTTTTCATCAGTGTTAGGCATTCAGAAAATGTTTGAGAGAACTCAGAAGGACACTTGGAGATGTTGACTTAAAAAAGCATTGCAGATGAGTCTTTTCCTTTCGTCATCGCCATGCCATCAGAAGTCACTCACAAAAGAAGTGGTTCTGATTGTACTCACTGTGACACAGCTGCAACACCATATGGTCTCTGTACTGAGAAACAATGACAGTGTGGTCTAGGCAACAGTTGTGATGGGGAAACGGACACAGTTGAAGTGATGAGCTGATCTCCAGCCAAAACTAGCCCCGTGAGAATGATATTATGGTGAACAAGGATTAGCGATCTAGTTAGTACTGATTATAACACCGACCAGTTCGGATAGCGAACGCGCAAATCGGTGTGCCGAATACACCGGACATGCAGGTACCAGACAACAGCCACCCAGACCAACAAAAACTGGAAAGCTATCGGCCCGAAACACACACAACTGTATTCAAAACCCGAAATGTGTTGTAAAAAAGCCATTGATCGTCATTTTTGGTTTGTAATCAGTCATCGACGTTCAGAACTTGGACACTGGTCATAGGTCTGTTGCCGTTCGGTAGACAGCAACGAAAAACCCAGTTACACATGTCGCCTGATTAGTCATTTAGTCTGTTAGGGTTGCACATTCGACAGCCGGCATCTCTTAGGGAACGTAAACGATCTGGATCGTTAACTTCCGACCGATTTGGTTGTGTGCCGCTCCTAGGCGATAGACAGGCAGGCTAACACAGCCAAATGCTGACGAGAATTTTCTACAGGAACACCGACCTCTTTGAAAGTGCTATTCGTACGCACCCGTCAACCCATTGACAGGTCAAGTAAACTAATGATGCAAGATGCAACACCTCACCGGTTCGTTAGGTAAGTGAAAGAGAACGAAGAGTCGTTGATAGCCAGACGAACTGGAACTGTTCCGTATCATGGCAATAGCATTAAGTTCCCATCATTCGGTCGGGACAGTCGGTCGTACTGACAAAGTACAGGTTTGAAGTTGACTGAACGAAAGCAGACTGCCCGGTGGAGTGTAATTGGATAAAGCTTCCAAAATACCATTAGCTCCTATAGAATTCAAGCTCCCACTAGAATGATTTGAAATGTTCTCCTAGGGTGGACTGTGCTTTACAGGAAGTTACGAGTTTTTTTTAAGATGAATTACAACAGCAATGGAGAATCACAGATGTAACGCGACAGCCTAAGTGAAACGTAAACATTCATAGCCGGAAAGAATCCGCAGAAGCAAGACAGAAACTGACACACATCGCGCTGGATGTGCTTCTTAATTGTAAACTGAGTTTCTCTCAGTTTGCATCCATAATCTGGATCGCTCTGACTAGCGCCGATAAGCGGTTGTTCTACTGGCCCCATTGTTCTGTCTGCTGGAAACACATCTATCATTCTAGACCTATAGTTGAGTTTTTCCCTGGAAACGGGTCTCCTATGGCGTTCTACAAAAAAAGAAAGATGTCAAGAACAGTCAGACACTGATGAGCCTCAACAGACTCAAGCAGGACTTCCGTTCGGCACCAGTTGACTTGGAGAGAGCTCAGCAGTTAAGGCGCGAACTTACTGACCGGAAGCTCCATGGTTCAAATCTAACCCCGACCTCCCATTCATTCCTGACATTAGCGAAATACACTCATTTTCAAACTAACTTGGCTTTGCGAGAGACTCACCTGGAACCCAACTGAATCAATCTTTTGTGATGTTTTCAGTAGTGCATTACGAATATACATTCCTGACATTATTTCAGCCATCGTGCCCCCTTCGGGTGACATGGCGCGGGTTGTGGCTGAGTGATTATTTTTACTACTACCGAGAGTATTATTATTACCGATGAGAATAGATTGGAAGAGTAGTGAGAAGCCTATCCAGAAGACTAGAGCCTTGGTAATCGCTTGTATCTTACAAAAGGCCGGGGACAAGCATTAGCAAATAGGTACAAAAACGGACGAAACTAGTGTATGACTATGACGGTGAAGACATAAGGCAGAAGCTCCCCTACGTCCCTAAAAAACTAGAACCTCATGGTGGTATTAGTAGAGGCCGTATCTCCATGGGAATCTCTTATTGTGCAGTTCAACGGGTTACTGTTAGATTCAAGGGCACAGTACTTCTCAGGGGGCGGCGAATTCGAGAGCGAAATTCCCATGAAAAGCCATCTGGTAAGATCGTCACGTGCACATTTTGACAGAATCGGGTATGTTATGCAATCACGTGTCGAAGAATGCGAATCCAGACAATAGAAGACGGGGATGGGGTTTTGCAAAAGCCATATACTTCAAGGGTAAGTAGTAAAGACAACTCAAATTAGGGAGCCAACTTGAGAACTGTTGGTTGGTTCACTGAAGAAAAGTGCGTCTGAGACTTCGGGTGGAACAATGACGGAACAATGAAGAGTTAGATGGTGTCGGGTTGCCTGCCAAGTTCTACACGGCAGTATTAGAAACGTAGTGAGCGAGTTCGGCAAACTTGCGGGCCCAGGTCAACGTGGCTTTAGGCTTATTATGGCTTGTCACAACGGCGGCGCACATGCCCCTCGAACATGGTTGTCCATTTTGCAGCGATTCGAACGAAAATGAGTGGTTTTAATCTGAATATTCCCTCATCGGAAGACACAGTCGAAAAGGTCGCAACACCATAGCAGGTCTTTCTGCCGTTTACTAAAATTCTGTGACCACGCAAAGTTCACGTTATTTCAGTGTGAAGTGGTGATAGCGCATCGAAAAAAGACATTACAATACGGACTCACACCCGTGCCGTCCTGGATGCGCTCTAAGGCCTTGTGGACCGCGTACGTCTGCAGAAGTAGTGAGGGAAATTGCTGTTGTATCCTAGCAGCATGTAGTCACTTCACCTCAGTGCAGTGATTCATTTACATTGAGGTGCCGACTGATCCCCAGGCTAAAAAACAATGCTTTGGAACCCCGTACATTGCTTGCTTTAGATCGACAACAAAGAGGCTTGCTAGATATTTCGTGAGAAGTTGGGTGTCAATTCTTACAAAGTGTATACACGTTGTAGGTAGTCGCGGGATGTGAATTCGCGTTCATACCACTCAGTCCCCTTCTGTCCTGGCGCAATTAATCTGGTGAGTCCGTACCAGGCTAGTCAACTGATCGATACAACCAGATTTATTGGATCGTCCTTCAAGGGGTCAGACAAAACAATCGAACCGCTCAACATGCTTGCCTGTTTACACCTTCAGATGTGTCCAGTATTCCAGTAGACTTTCCTCGTGAGATGACCGGAGTTCGAAGGTACGGCCAGGGGTCAGACAAAACAATCGAACCGCTCAACATGCTTGCCTGTTTACACCTTCAGATGTGTCCAGTATTCCAGTAGACTTTCCTCGTGAGATGACCGGAGTTCGAACCCCGGTACGGCCAAGGGTATGTACTCGAAACTCGAGTCCAGGTCTTCCGCTCTTTATGTCATGACAACAGGGGGACTGTCCCAACATGAGTGATATGAACTCAAGTGTATGGCTTTTATTCCATCCCAGAGTCAAGATAACCAGACTCAGAAGACGGCAGATTCGAATAGCAAACCTCCCGACGTTCAACCAATCGTTGACACACAGGCAGCAGACACAACGTCTACACTGGACGACGATGACAGACAAAAGTGAGGTGGCAGATCGATACGAGACAATCAGCTGACCAGCCGGACGCGTCGCATAGTTCGCTCATCAAAATTCCACTGTGTCTGTTCGAGACAAACAACATTTGCAGATAGTGAATCGACAGCAGTGAGCTCAGTCGACTTTGCACAGATGCATACAAAAGCAAAGGCAAACAGAACAGAACACAATAGGTGTGTCGGTACTGTTTAACTGACGGCGCAACTATGGCTGATAACCGCCTCAAGTCACTTCTATAGAAAACGGGGATGTTGCTGTGGATGGATATTTGACTAATCGAACTGTTGCGAGATTTACGAGCAAGACAGGGCGAGCTACTCTACGTCTCTTCGGCCGTCAAATTTGGGAATAATGCGCTTCCACGTGACCACACGCCTCAGAATGGGTAAATACAGAATGTCTGTCTACAGACGTGAGAGTATTTTAGGGAACTACGAATGAGAAAAACAAGTTTTCAACTCCTGTTTATTCAAACCCCACTGATTGTCATAAAACTTCACATACGTTTCCGCGCCACTGAATCTTCATACCCAAGGGTACAGGGGCAGTACGAACGCTGTACAACATCTGACCTCCGAAGAACGATTCTATTTGCGTTCTTGGTTGGCTAAAAGACCAAGAGACAAGAGGTGCATGCGCGGCTGAAGACCTCCGGCTACTTTCAACTGTCTTGAAATGAGGCATTCGAGTATGAACGAATCGCCGAGATCCCCAGGGGTGTCCTTTCATTCACTCTAAGTGTATTTAGACTTCGTATTCCAAGATCTACTTGTTAGCAATAGTGGTTGGTAACGCAAAAATAAGAAACTACGAAGCGCACGCAGCGGTGAAATTCCATCATGCAAGGTCGAACATTCAACCTGAAACGATGTAAGTGTACAGTAAGGCTCATTCCAGAGTTCGCACTCTGCCAATCTGACCACGTCACAGTCGTTAGCGATCGAAAATCAGAGATCAAACACGCTTTAGAGAAACGAGTCAAAGGTTCAAGTTGCTCACTGGTTGTCACCAGGGTTCATTCACGATTATTCACCTCTCATATAACCAATCCACAAAAAACACCGAGAGATTTAAAAGGAAAGTCATGAAATCCTAGAGGATTCCATCACATATTCTGATGGAAAATAAATTGACCCCGACAATGCCCCAAAACACGAATGAAGGTACTCACCAATATGCCTCCGAGTGCTTTCCACTTGTGGCGGGCGGTTCACGTGACTAAGGCTTCCTAAGCTGAATCGGTCGGCCCGATAGCATGGTTCCGTGAACCCATCTATAGTGAGGGTGAGACGGCCCGCGTGGAATGCGTCACCCACGCGCGTGTTCAGTTCATAGTAGAACACCGTACACCAGTATTTTAGGTCGGAGAAAGTGACCATGTTTAGGAGAGGATTGCTCAGTGCACTCACTTCTAGGTCGGTAGAGGATCGGGTTTGCTTATCGGAGCTTTTGTCCGATGAGCTGGGATCTGTGGAATGAAGGTTATGGTGGATACCGTGGGACAATTAGTAGGAAGTAACAGGGAAGACCTGAAAAAAGAGAAACGGACACGAAAGGCAATTCACTCAAACCAGTCCGACACATGCATCTAGAGTCGTCACAACATGATCCAAACTTTTGATCCGACGATGCGAAAACAGAGCTTCTCCATCAATGTTCAGTTGAATAACACCAATTCTATGCTGAAACGGGTTCAAGTTATTTCTATCCAGCAGCCTCATGCGGGGTCGTTAGTGCGACCGTATTACAGGAAAAACATTTTACACATTGTAGTAACGGTATTTTCCTCAGCTTAGTTCTCGGTCTGAGCCTCCCAAGCTAGCGTTCACGTCAAAACAACCACCAAAAGGGCACAAGGTCCATTAATGCCCAAAAGGAAGTCAGGAACAGTCGTACAGCGCTTCGTATATATAGCGTAAGCGGTTATAACTTTCTGGAATTTCTGGCGCATTCTGGATCCGCCATTGGCAACCGGCATTTGGCCAGTACTGGATCATGATTGGCTGTTGGGTTCAGGTTCTCGACCAATGAGATCTCGTCTTGATGCCGGACCGACAAGCGTCCCGAATCTTTGACCAGTCTCGTGCGGGCTAGGCTTATCGGCCGTAGCCGCGCCTGAAGATGTGCGGCAAAGCGGGATCCGTGTGGATTCCTGCCTAAAACACATGTTGTGGCCTGTAGTCGGGCCTAGACGCCAACCCAGAAGTTAACCGTCCATTCAGTCTGTCTCGGTCACCAGGAGAGGTTATTAGCTCATTGCCGCCACGAATGCCAATATGGCATGATGTTACCGCCGGTTACCGTGGTTCGAGCAGAACGTGGTACGACGCAGTCCGTTGTACTGACAACTACACTTTCAATGTTACACTGCTGGCCTAGCACACACTCTGAGATCGTACGATTGAGCGACTCAACATGAAGTCCGCTTCATGCTCACCTGGCACAACACAACTCTAAGCCCGATTAGGTTAACTCGTTGGAAAGGTGAAATCTGTCAGTTCACAATGACATCCACAAAAAATCCGAACTTTTTCGAGGTTATCGAGAAACATGGATCAACTAAGCGATCGTTCGCCTACGAGAGAGAGATTTGTAACCTATTAAACTAGTAACCAGCAGGTTCCGGGTTGGAGATTCTCTGGAGTTTCGTTAGATGTGCACCGCTGAGGATTCCCAGTAAGGGTGAAATAGAGTTTTTCGGTTTTTCAGCATAGATTACCTGCACTTACAGGACGAAATCTCCACTAAACTTTGTCTGGGATGAGATGGCCAAAGTGCTTAGAGCGCGAGTTTCCTGACCGGATGTTCCGTGGTTTGAACCCGACCTCTGCCTCTCGACTTCCCCCGTCTAGGCTTGGGCGACCTGGCAGTATGTCAGCCCTCGTGAAACCGTCGGGTAGCATGGTAGTTGGGCACCGAAAGGATGCTACAGCTGAACGATATATAAAACTTTTCCTACTTTGGAGGGGATGCATGGAGAATAACCCATTACCAACCTTACAGAGTAAACATGGAGGGGCAGAGCTCTACCTGGTTCACAGCGTACTTCAGTAACAATACAAGCTGGAGATAAAATGCTTCAACTGTCACTGTTATTACTGTAAACAACATACCCTTCTAAAACAAATAATTCGCTTCTAAATCGATAGAAAATGTACTACCCTTGTGTTCCAATATACACGAAAAGTGGTTGGAGTGCAAGATGCGCATCCAAGACCCCAAAACGAAAGCCAAAGAACAGGACGTAACTGTTTTCGACAAACAAGCTCATTCGCAAATCAATTTGGTTTTCACGGGAGACTGAATCTCTTGTTTATGATATTCTTCAACTGAATGTGATGCACAAAGGTCGCCTGGTGTTTCAGTTGGTAAGATATTTGAGATATCGCAATATATTTGCATAAAGGAAACTACTCGCAATTGTTGCTGAAAACTCTTTGATAGGCCACGACTGGCTTCGCCCTTTCTTGGAGCTCATTAGGTAGGTGCAGTTCCCAACTTTTCGCCAACCGAATACTCCACTTGAACTCAAATCAACCTCTTGTTTATGATTTTTTAAGCAACTGGGGCCACGTACAACCACGAATTGCACATATACTACTTGATGAGCCTCAAGGGCGGAAGCGGTCGTGGGCTGTTTCCAGCTACCTTGTGAGTAGTTTCCCTTAAATTGTAACTGTCTTAGGAAAGCTCCAGTGAACTGGAACGGCTTGTACGGTAATTCATAAGGCGACAAGAATAGGTATTCATAAGGCATAGATCACCATGAAATAAGTTTACCTAGAGAGTGGACTGACCTGAAACATCGGATATTCGTCGGTCTGAGTCACTGGTCCTCGATCCATCGTGTGTACCACCACCACGGGAACGTCGACGAGCAGTAGACCGTTCGGTAAGCGAGAACGGAGCATTCATGCTGCGTTCCGCAGAGGCCTTGGCCAGAGCTGCAGCGGCCAAAGCAGCCTGAGTTGCCGAACTGGCCGGATAAGCGTTACTGGTACTACTGCTGCCGCCACTGTTAAGGTTAGTGGATTTGGACTCCCGTTGTTGGAGTCGATGTTCGCCGCCCGAAGGCTCCAAGCGTTTACTGTGGCCGTTGGCGTAGACTTCAACAGAGCGACCTGTGTGTGTGTGTGTGTGGTGAAGGCAAACCGGTAACCAAGTGTAACTCATCATTACAACAAACATCAACTGCAGTCTAACACAGTGGCACCGAGGTCTAACTGAATACCCTTTGGTAACCAGTTAACTGAAAGACGTACCGTCTGAGAAAGAGGGCATAAAATTGGCCAAGTTTAAATAAACGGTCAAAACTTTGAGAAGAAACCAGTCCGAAAAGAATCTATATCCTGCAAAAAGTAAATAGTGAGCTGCACATGCCAACATGCTTTGTGCAGCTCTGGTCAGCTCTTGCCTTCTGTGAGGGATTATACTGAAATTTTCTGTGGACACTGACCGCCCATGATATCCAATTTCCTCTTCTCATTAACAAGACTGAGGTTCCTTAGTTAAGCCACCAAGAAGAATAAAGCATCTTTTACATCCGGATGAAATCCGCTTATTGACTGGCGACATGCACGGTGTAGCGGTTCGAAATCGAACCCCCGTTTCCCTGATCTGTCCTATACACAATTTGCGAGCCGTAACGATGAAAATACAGAAAGTAAGCTCACATGCAACAGTCTGAAGCCTCAAAGAGTGATGAAACCCGTCCCTAAAACAAACTTTGGTATCAGAACTCAATAAAAAACCGCGCCTGGTGGTATACTCATCAACGAAGTTTTCACTTGTAAATACCACTTGACACAACATGGGTTACTGACCTCAACTCAGTGGTCGATTCGCAAAAGTACTGATAAAAAGGTTCGTCGTCTGAAAGTAGCCCTGGCACTCCGAGGGCTCTTGTCTACACCCATGCAAACCTCGCAATATCTCAGCCCTCACACTCTCTTCAGCGGCAATTCGTCGAAGAGGCGTCACCGCTGAGTGGAGCAGTGTGAAACAACTCAGTGTTGAAGCGTAAACCTACGGACTAGGACATCCGTGATTTGACCCTGGCTTTTCGATGGTCCCTGCATTGTCTTGAACAACTGGGCAATGCCTCAAACCCGGTGGTTGAATGGTTTCACCAAAGAAGGCGTCATAGTTCAACGGTTATTAATTACTTATCTGTAATTAGTTGTATTTACCCAAGTTCCAACCTAAACCGACCTGTGGCATCTTTGTTTTCCGTGCTGTTGGGAGGGGATTCGAACCTAAAAACCCTGAAACAAAATAGCAATCGATTCTGCTACGAATGGTTTCGAAAAAAACGCATTGTCGACAGTTGAAAAGAAGGTTTGCAATGTTCTAGCACAACGAACCGATGCATTGGGAATTCGCTTCAGCGACAAGAGCCTGTCGGTGGAGTAGATGTCAAGCCTTAGAAAGTTGCGCTGGCATGTGTGCGGTAACGGGGGGGGGGGGGAACCTGCTTTTTTTATTGTAATAGTCTAACTAAAACCCTCCAAACAACCCTCATATACGCGCACACAGATTATTGGTCTTACATGCGCCGTCATGTGACAACGGTCGTCCGAGTAGGCGCACGTTTCGCATGTCTCATGTCGGATTTTAGAGACAGCCACAGAGCGCAGTTTTGAGCCACAACAAACACAGACGACAACAACAACAACATCAGAGTGAACAAATTGTTGGACAACCGGGTGATAAGTTGATTCAAATACGTGCGATCAGTACAGACGAAGATCCGAGGGTAGCCACCAGCCATACGTCTGTCGGTAAGAAAACTGTTAATCGGCTGTTTGTTTGTAGCTGTTGTTGTCTGAAATTATTGTCGCTCAGTCAGAATTTTAATTGAGCGCATTCGGCAGACCAAGTTACGTAATTCCACCAGTCACGACATAGTATACTGAGGGTTGAATTACTAGTTGTGTTATCGTCTCGAACCAAGATTGGTGGAAAATGGACCGCGTTAAGTGAAGAGTTCCCGACCAAAAGTCCGTGATCCTAAACCCGAATCGTTTTTTCCCGATTGCTCCTACTCAAGCTAAGATAGCTTGGCTTTGTGCTTCTGACAGGTTGCATAGCAACTACGCATTGAAAAGCTTAGCAGTTCAGGGAGATTAGGGCACACCTTCATGTAGCCAATAGGACGCAGATACCTCATCATTGCAAATAGTTTAACATTTGACAGCGGAGTTCCAATTGCGCATTTAGACTGCCTCGCTCTGATCATGGATCATTTGGCTAAATATACGTGACCTCAGAAACCTTAGTATTTCGGTTTCTCAGCTTCGTTAACTCACAATCAAGCCTATCAAAAGAGAATATTAAAAAAAGTCATCCAAATATCTCCTAGAACAGATCATTGTGATAATCCTCGGCTAGGTATGTGAGCTGAACCAAGAGAGGTCGCGTGTGTGGATCTGAGTTCGAAGTTCTCGATCTTGCTTTCTGAAGAGTTGGTGGACATTGTGTGTGTGTGTGTGTGTGTGTGTGTGTGTGTTTAGTTGAACAAAGAGACGGCGAGAATGGAATGTACAATCCGGTCCAGATTGTGCATAATTGGAAATGACCAAGAAGAACGACGTTCAAAGATATATCGACGGAGCGCGCACGTGTGTGTGCGTGCGTCTAAACACTTTCGACAGACAGGGCGAGTGAACGAGAAAAAATGGCCGCACGGCCCACCGTCTATATTTGACGGAAGCATTGTTTACTAAGTGTTAGTTGAGGGTGACGGTGGTGGTACTGCTGGTAAGGTGAAATCCAGAACAGGTCTTCGCAGTTCCATGCACCAGGGTCGATAAAGTAGGTAATTTCTCTGACAGATAATTTGCGAGCTACAAAAGCTGACGATGATAGGTACAAAATACATCTATACTGATTAGAAAGTGCTGCTCATCAAAACAACGTGGCTTTGGGGTGAGGTGAGGCGCTTTTGAAAGCAACTGATAAATGGAAAAAAAAGTCGACGAGTGCTACAGACTCAGCACGAGGTTTTGTAATGATATTACGGCAAAACAACTTACCACAAGCCTCAAGTTTGACAGTGTTACATGGTTCTATTCCATTAGAACCCATGGAAACCGAGGACCGATGCTGGTGTGTCTGTTGCGGATCTTGTGAATTGGGAGTGTGATGGTGGAGAAGGGAGGCAGGATGAATTGTTTGATAAAAACCTGCAGGGGAACCGAGAGCAGCGGAAGAAAACGGTTCAGTTAGGGTGTGGATCTTCGAAAACTACTCCACATATTCGACCGCCGCTGGCCATAGTAGAACAATGATCTCCAACTTAAAATCTCGCTCCGTTATTCGATTCTCCTTCAGGCACATTCCTTAATCGCTTGGCAACCAACGCGATAGCTGTTTGCCTTGCTTACTGATATTGGCAGTGTTCCTACCACGCAAATTCCCTTAACAGCCTCGTTCAGAAGTAATATGAGAACACCAGCTGTGTTGTTATTGAATAGATATGTCAGTATGATTGGGAACTGCATTGTCAACCAGGTGGTAGTGAAACGTTCTAGACCATGGGGTCAAGCAGTGTTATGCATGGTAGCCTCTTTACGTCGGCCTCTTGAATGAAATCTACTAACACAAGCTTTCGATTGGTTTATGGGAACATTTACGTGGCATGATTGAGTGACTCCAGTCTAATCACCAACGTGGCAATCTGTTCTGGTTTTGATCGCATGTGACTTCAAACATCCTATGTCTCCCGTGTTTTGAGTTGGACACGAAGACCAGCTATAACCCGAAAATAATTTCCCCACAAGGTGCAATCTAAGCGGGGGATACGAAACATTGTGACAGAGGCTGAAATTAGTATAATGCGTGGAGCTACCGTGAAAAACGGCAGGCAATACACTGCGCACATTGCACCCTATCCGCCTGCAAATGAGTGGCCTCAGATTTTCATGTGAGAGGTTGATTCAATATAATTCAATGATGATTACCCTAGGGCAGAAGGAAAATTACCCCCGTGAAAGTAATTGATATGATCCATACTTTGCTTCCTTCAAAGACCTCCCAACAACGGACACCCATGGACATAGTCTGAAGCGAGTGCACAGACATGCCAATCGTCAGTTTCCTTCTAACCTCGAACTAATAAATCCATTAGATGCAAGCCTCAGTATCACGTGACCATCAGTATTTTTTAGTCCTAAGACATACATCAACCCAAACGTCGTCACTATGCAAAGAGCGGCAACCAAAGTACGAATTCTTGTGAGCAAGTTGACCGTAGGAACCACATGTGAGAGAATGCGGAGCTCACGTACTATGTCTGATGAAAACCCAAAAGCGTACACGCTGAATAATGATCGCAATAACAGGTGTTAACACCCATTCAGAGTTCCGTTGCCGTACAACTCGAAGGAATTACAATGGCTGGGATATTGCGCCAGGTTGTCCAAGCCTAACCGAGATGCCGGACCTACCGGTCAGTAAGTTCGCGCCTTAGTCGCTGGGCTAGTAGGCTGTATTACGTACTTTCACGAACTTGTTTCCCTATATGTAACCAACTACCATCTAAAAATAAATTCAATGTGTTAACCAGCTAGCCCCTGAAATGTGCTGTTTCTAATGCTGCTTTCGCATTTCCGTTGATATATCGTACTTGCGTAGTGAACACTATGGTAACCTTCTAGTGAGGAAGTTAGGTTAGTTGCATTCCCACTAAGATGGGAGGTGGATCATACCACATGCACACACACACACACACACACATCGAACTGGTGACGGGCTTGGTCGCAGTCATGGACATCTTACTCGATCTTGGCAAAATATGTTCAGTTTTAGCACTCTTTTGAACTGTGTAGAGCTAGTGTATGGAAAAGTGTGGGAACTAAGACGGGCCGTAAAAGAGTATTCGCTTGAAAACAGTCCAACTTTCGCGCGTGCTGTGTGGTGGTCATGTACTATTGCCAATGTTATGCTGTTAGCTGAGCCGGCATGAAAGGTATTTCACGGCGTAACTACCTATGAACATGCAACATCGTACTATTGAAATCCCAGTGCGGTTCCAGCAAGGTGATCATCACAAACAAGAAAAATCGTTCAGCTGTAGCACCCTTTCGGTGCCTAGATGCCATGCCACACGAAGGAGGCACGAGGGCTGGGATACTGCCAGGTCGCCCAAGCCTAGACAGGGAGAGTCGGGAGGCAGGGGTCGGGTTTGAACCACGGACCTTCCGGTCAGTAAATTCGCACTCCAAAAACTTGGGCCATCACAAACAAGACTAAATGATTTACAGTGCAATTCCGTATAGTTTATTTTCGCGTCTGCGAGCATGTGACGGAGTGATTGAGGTTGACAAGATGAAAACGGTGATGAAAGACAGGTAGTGCTTAGATGGTGTTTTTAGACCACCAAACCGTGAAGAAGGGAGTAATTCACTTGAAAGCTTTTCAGCACCATGGTTGAACGGACCTGTTCATTTATTTTCCAACGTAGATATAGTAAAGTGAACACAAAAGCTGAACTGACACTACAGGTGAAGATTGCAGAGAGTAAAAATAATGCTCTAGCACGCACACCTATCATGCGACCACTGCGATTACGTCTCACATGACTGATCTAATGAATCCTTCAATCCATTCTGTGTGATCCATCGGGTGCTACAAAATCACTTCAGATCTGTCTGAAGATGCACCGGAAACCAGTGAAACGGTCGAAATTTGAACATCACCATAACCTGCTACACTTCGCGGGGCGAGGTATTTAGAGCGTGAATTTCACTGACCGGAAGGTCCAACCTCCACCTCTCGACTTCCCGCGGTCTAGGCTTGGGCAAACTGGCAGTATCTCAGCCTCCGTGCTTCCTTCGGGTGGCATGGCAGCTAGGCACCGGAAGGGTGTTACAGCTGAACAATTATTTATTTACTTCCAACACGCATACATCAGTGATTTTCAACTTTACCAACAGAGTGTACTAACTAAGCTTCTCTGTTTCACTCGGGATTTATTGACGTATTCACTTAGCCGATCATAACAATATACTCGAATTCTGCAACAAGGACCAACACTAGTTTGTCATTGAAATCACTATGAGGAGTACGGACATTTCACTGAACTAAAATCAGTGCTACAAGGCGAATCTTGTTTACCCCATACTCCCCGCGCCGCGTTATTCTCCCACCCCCCGGCAACTTGTAGAATGTTTTCATGTTTGTAACACGCTAGCGTGGCACTGTGATTTGACGAATTAAGAAGGTGAGATCGACTTTGTTTGAAGGCCGGTGCTATCGGACAATACGGTACATTGCTAAGTAGGTGCGAACATTCAATTTCCTGATCCCAAATGTGCTGGTGGCCGTTAATCCCTCTCATTGATCTTGCCCCGATCGACTTATCGTAGAATATCTAGGTGCGTCTCCACCAAGCAACCCTCGTTGGTAGCTCCACATTCAAGCTGTATGTGGCAGGATCATGAATCCATCTTCGGTTTCCCACAATCTCATAGCTTTCGTATCACCTGACCATCCACACTCAACGTGTTATTCTCCTGTCCTTTTCCCGAGCCTGTTTGACAATGATTGCTACTTTACTGTTCAGTTGTTAAAGTACTTGTCAACCTGCAGTGGAACCTCGGAGAATGTCTTGGCTGACTTCCTGTAAACAACTATTTCGACGCTGATTTCTTTCCTTCGCCCTCTCCATTGGTCACTTAACAAAGCCACGTCTACCTCACGTACTTAGTCAGACTAATTCAACGAGTGACAAGATACCTGGATGCGTTTCCTCTGCTTAAAATCCATAAAAGAGAAGTCATGCGGAGTTTGTTCATACGTGTTACTGCATACCCAGATGAAAAATTCCCTTTTTTCGTCCCCTTCTAATAGCGATCGGTTGGTATGCATAAACGGCTTTCACGCCAACTCTTCTCACCCGTATACGTTGAATGTCACCGGAGCTACATGTATTCTTATTTATTTATGGTCGACGGAAGATGGTACCGGAAACATGTAAGGTTGGCACAAAGCGCAGGCAGCTTTATCAGACATCAAAAATTGAAGATACACGTGTTCGTCTCTTTTCGTGGTCTGCGTACGAGTTACACGGAAACATGATGAGTGTCGACAGCCTGGCACCAGTCAGACTGCTGACCAGACAGCATCCCCAGCTGACTGTCGGGTTCTACGGCTTCGCCTCAGCCGGCGATAGAATCCACGCGACACGGGTGCGTTCTGATACACACGCCAGTCTGACCTTGACCGTTCGTGTCTCCGCCGCTATACGTAAAATCCAGACATGGATAGCCAGCCAGATCGAAGGCAGACAGGCAAGTGGGGGCGGTTGCAGTTGTCGTGATGACGACACGCACTGAGACCTGGCCGATCGGGCATGCGCATAAACCTGACCGCGAATGAGGACAAGTCGCATGCGCGCGCGCGCGTCTCGTCTGATAGACACCCAGACAGGTAGACAGAGGACGACGTCGCGCGAACACGGGAAAACAGGCGTCTGCACAATGTGAGAACTGCTGGAAGAATCCAAGGCGTACTCCGTTCATCGCAATGATGGAACGTTCGATAGTAGGTAGCCAATCGTCGATGTACTTGCTAGTCGCATGGTCAGCTGTCAAGCGTGGAGGAAAGCCCAGATATGACCATTCTGATCGGGTACTGTATTGTATCACATTGCGACCGCAACAACGCGTGGCGCAGAGACGGGGAAGTGTCTGGTTGGAGGGGCAGACAGGCCCCAGATTCGATCACGTGGTCTGCATCACAGTAACGCGAATCAAGGCATCCAGCCACGCGCACGTGTGTGTGCGTGTGTGAATACATAAACGCACGTAGCTGGCTAACCGGGATATCGCCCATGCTGTGGCAGACGGACTTGGTTGAAACAGACACGAGACGTGGAGAAAAGCGCGTGTGGAGCGGAGGGAGAAAACGAGTTCATCAGACGAGAGCGACAGAAAAGAAGTGTATCGCACATCCATGCAAATTGGTAGGAAGATTAAGGGTCTACAAGGGTGACTGATAGGAGTTTCTCATTTCAACTAGGACATTGATTTGCCCAAACCGTTGATATATCGCAACCAGCGCCATGAATTTCAAAAGATAATTTGATGCCTGTTAACGACCGTTTGTCACTCAACACTGGAAATCAAAAGTAGTTTGAACCGATCCACCTGGCAGTGGAAAACGTTCCCGTAAATTTAGCCCACCAACTTATCCCAACTAATAAGGCAGAAAAACAGGGAATTGTTGACGATTAATCAGGGTAAGCCTTGACAATGATAGCGGTTCGGCTGTGGCGCTCCTTCGGTGCTGTGGGACCGGAAGGAGCTACGAGAGGTGAGAAACACCCAAGACCATAACAGGTTCAAACAAAAAGCCCTCCGAACAGTGATTTCAGGCTTTAACCATTTGAATATCTCGAGCTTTCTTACTCTTTAAGGCATAAGTGCATCCATGCTGTGAGAGCTCCGTATAGCTCAGCAGTTAAGGCGCAACACTGCTTTCCGGAAAGTCCATGGTCCGGACTTCCTAACTGCTCCTGTCTAGGCTTGAGCGACGTAGCAGCACCTCAGCGCACTCGTGCTTCCATCGGGTGGCACGGCAGCTAGGCGCTGAAAGGGACAGTTCACTTAAAGTCCATGGTCCGGACTTCCTAACTGCTCCTGTCTAGGCTTGAGCGACGTAGCAACACCTCAGCGCACTCGTGCTTCCATCGGGTGGCACGGCAGCTAGGCGCTGAAAGGGCATTACAGTTCACTTACTATTGTTTGGGTTATAATGGATCAATCAGGGCTGGCTTCTTACGGTCAACTTGCTCGTTAATTCGTATTGAGGGGAATTGAACTATGATTGGTTCCGCTCGAGTTGACCGTGCTCCCAAACACAGGTGGACCATTAAAACTAGCGGACACAGCCGACTGGTAGTTGAGGCCACGATCGATCGATGCGGTTTACAGGTAAACATTGGCTAACGCAAGCCGACTAGGCTCGCAATCATTATCCGCGGCGAACCGACCATTGACATCCCGCTAACCGATAAAACGAGGTTGGCACTGGCATGAGTGTTCCTCACGAAGGACCTTTATCACGTCGGTATTTGCTTTTTTAGTTGCCTGTCACAAACGGCACTATTCGACCGGGATACAAAGTAAGCGACTGGATATCACAAAGCCATGAAGCAGAAGTCCCACTAACTCTTACAAAGCTTGTGAAAGTTGAGCAGTGTATATCGATAAGGTAACGTTTTCGATGGATATTACAAGCTGTATGACGTCAAGAGTGTAGAGCAAACAAGCCGGGAGCGACCTCCTCCGCAAGAACAGACAACTAGTGCATGGTTACCGTGCAACGCGGAAGAAATACGAAGGCGGAGATACTATCAGGCTGTCTAATCTAAGACGGGGCAATGAAAAAGCCAGGATTAGGCTCGACTGACGGACCCTCCGGTCGCGCCCGTTTAGGGTAACAAAGATGACCAGTGGTTTGGTTTCCGCTTGGTCGGTTGGAATAAGCTGGCGGTGGGAAAATCAACCCCCCGAAAAGTGCGAAACTAGCCAATCGGTTGGCGTACGTAGTGAACTATCAAATCCGTCCGAGTTGTACGAGGGGACGACAATTTCCGTTCGGAAGTTTGGTTTCTACATTTTTAATCGAAAAAGGAGAAACTAACGTACCCGGAAACAGGATGAACTATCAAAGAGGAAACATGTTCCAAATTGAACAGATAAATTGTTTTAAAACCAGAACGCGAAAGCAACATACTCCTAGGATAGCCTGACCAGATTGGACGCTACTGGTTTAAAAAGAGAGAAACAAACGGGTAGAACACGATTTGAAAACCCAACACCCACTTGTATCAGCTTCGGATTTTACAAAGGAATGCATAGGGTCTCGCATCGAGCCAGTAGTACTCGGATCAGGTTTAACCACTTGTTCGGTGGCGGGATCAAGTTCTGAGGTAGTGGTGGGTGTGGTGGTCACCACAGCGGCGGCCGCAGCAACAACAGCGGCAGTCTCTGTGATAGAGTCCAAACACGTAGGTGGGTCACAGTCTGAGAGCAGTTCGGATAATAGAGCACCAGGTTGCGCGTCTAGTGTTCCAGTGAACGATGTGAAAGAGGAATGGGTAGCGATCGGTGAGAGACAAGCGGTAGAATCCACAGTGGTGACTGGGCCAAAAGGAGCCGTCGAATTGGAGTGGTTCTCAGTGACTAACGACATTCTGGCAACATTTGAAAGTAAGCTGTGGAAAAAACGGAGGTATGATGAAAGAATTTAGTAACAATTGTGTGAATAGAAACCACCATCTTCAAGGTGTGTGCACGGGCATGGTTTGTCCCTGTTTGGGAGAACCAGCTCCGAACGTAACGGGACTATGTAGCAGTCAATGGAATAACCGTTTTCGTTGAGACAGATTTCATTGGTTGTTCTTCATTCGTCCTTGACAGATGAGTCGTATTCTTAGTATCACTTTTTGGACCCCCTTGTAAGCGACAGTAACCAATAGATCAACCGATTCGCACGTTCATTGACTTTTTCTGGTTTGGCCAAGCGCACCAGGCTGTCAGTCGGCTATCCACACCGGGGTTCACGGTAATAAGAAGGCATTGAGAAGACTGGTCCACAACAGTCCTCTACCGAACATTTGTTGTAACAGCCTCAAGACTCAGAGAGAATCAGGAGAAGGCGTCGGGGTTGGGTTGGAAGTAGGGACCTTCCGATAAGTAGGGTCGCACCATGACCACCGAACTATCGAGAGCTCGTAACTGTTTTTGTTATAGTTAGGCTCCAGGGACAAGACGACCCAAGTGGCTAGAGCGCGAATTTACTGACCGAAAGGTCCGCGGTTCGAACCCGACCTCTCTCGACTTCCCCTGTTTAGGCTTGGGCAACCTGGCAGTATCTCAGCCCTCGTACAACCTTCTGGTGGCATGGCATCTAGGCACCGAAAGGGTGCTACGGCTGGACGATACGAGGTGCTGTTTGCAACATAAATGAACTGTGGTAGCAAGGCGACTGGAAGGAGGGCGGAACCAGCGTTTTTACGCACGCCAAAAGTTTCAGTTTGGTTGGGTTAAACACTCCGATAGGATAAGAATGAGTGAGTATTATGCACGTTTCTATGGCTTGTCTATGGATGAATACAAGCTAGTTGAGGTAGGCTTTATAGGGGTTTTTAAGTGAATATTTGTTGTTTAAGAACCTGAAAGCGGGGTGGAGCACGCAACATACGGTACGCGGGGAGCCGATGACCAGGGCCGCATTCTATACTTGGGTAACAAGGAACTATTTAAAAAGTTCGATTCACCTACCTACCGTACCCACCGCTAAACACTAATAGGGATTCAAGGTAAACAAAAACTTGTGAAGAAATCACGTCAAGTGATACGAAACCACTGAAAGCCTAGCGAAAAGCTCCAGTGTGGAAACGACGATGACCAACCCCTAGAGCTTCCCTTTTGACCATACATCTCCATCAGTAACCGTTTAGGCTAATCACACTGGCCTCAACTATATTATGCACTCCATAATGCCCGCTGCGATTCGACAGCACCACCACTGTGTTCTTCACTACCGTTATTTCACCACAAGGAGAGCCACCCCCCCCCGTCCACGATCTGAGAAGCACAAATCGTCCTCTCATCCCGAGTGGCCCATCTGGATTCGACATTCTGGAGAAGCACAAACGGCGTGGGCGATTGTGTTGTTTCAGTGCACACGTAGCGAGACTGAAGCAATTTCTACTCGTTCACCAGTTTCTATAAACATTTACCTCACAAGAGGAGAGAACTACAAGTTCAATGCACCGGTCTGAAGTGCTGAATTCCCAGTCTAGCGATGTTAGCTACGGAGATGAATCTCGACCCGAAAGAGCTAGTTAAACATTGGAACACATACTTGCGTGAAATTAGCTTGCGATGAACACAACACTGGTAGAGGCATGTGTGCTTGTAAACTATCATTTTGGAATGACACTCACTGATTTGCGAAAAAGAGATCAACCTACGACCAACTGAGGTTAACGGCCGGTAGGGATGCTAAGCATTACTACGTCACTTCCAACACTCGGAACGTTTTAACCTCAAAAGATAAAGATAAAGTTTCAGATAAATTGACTGGGATTCTGAAGGATGCCGTGTTTCTAAAGCTGCCTGATTGTTTCGAATCCTGTAGGATGTCATCCAAAGTCTGTTCACGCAAGTCACCAGGGTGTGAATAGGGAGAACTACTCCGCCTTCCCGCCCTCTCAATCTCAGTTCCTTGCTATCCAAAACAATCACGAGATTCATGTTTAGGAGGTCTAATCAGACGATGCGACAAGGTCAAAAAGTCAACAATCTCCCAATGCCGAAGTCGCTCAGCAAGCGGTTTCGCCAAGTCTGTTGTCCGTAAGTTGCGTCTAACTTCTGTGTTTTCCGACCCTGGCGCGGGATAGCCTAAACGACCAACTGGGTGTTTTCGACACATTCTCTGGTTCACCCTGACCATTTGTCCAAACGCCTCTGCACAAATTTTCTGCTCGAAAAGTTTATTTTCTACATTGCCCTAAGAATACGACAGTGAAAACAATGTTTTTAAGCCTTTACCCTGTGAGGATACTTCATGACTAGCTGACTTTTCTGAAATAACAGAGGCTACGTAGGCTGTTCCGTTGGACACCGTCAATTGACTGCAGTTCGACAGTGTAACATTTGGAAGCGACAACCGGATAGCGCGAGCGATGGAGTACAAATTACACGAAACTATTTCGTTCAGGCATAAAGATCACAGCGCCTTTTCCAGGTGTAAGCTGTAAGCCAGGTAGCCAAAAACTGAGAGGGGTCTAGGAGGTTGCAACATCTTGGTTCCACAGCGCTTATCACCTCATTGGTCGTACGCGAACTCTGCTGTTGCTGCACGCTGCTTGATCCCGCCGAGCCAATGGCACCGCTCGCCTACCACTTTGGGTTTGATTTTTGTGTTCAAAGTCTCCACATCTGTGACCTGAACTGAGCAATACGTTGACAAATTCTGCGCGTACGTAATACTCAAGTTGAAGGGGGTATCCTGAACTTCAAAAACGATCAAACAGGGCGAAAAATCAAGTTAGACCTTTACATTAACACGTTTTCGATATCTTTCACTGTTCTTTCCTTAGTCTCTTCACGTTTGAAGGATTTGAGTGCACCATCAGTACTCGTTCGCTGTGGGTTTGGATTTCCAGGCATCAAGCGATCTCGACTATATCCAGCGGTCAGCTGAACGTATCAGCGAGGTGGGACAGACGGCATAAACACATTCTGCCATGCTTCATGAACGTACTCGCTACCGCCACTGTATTGGCTTGCTGTACAAGTAGATCAGATTGATAGGGCCGACCTGATCTGCTTCTCCGAAGATTAAGGATTGATATGTTTTTTGGTGACTTGCGAGGTCCTGGAGGAAGTACGCAGTGGGCCTTCCATGGTAGGGGTCCCCGTGACTCCTCCTGTGTCTAGCTGGAGACATTGCAAGGGCGCCTGACAGTGGGCCTTCCATGGTAGGGGTCCCCGTGACTCCTCCTGTGTCTAGCTGGAGACATTGCAAGAAATGGCGCCTGACCGATGTCGGTTTCTTTCCAGAATGTCTGACTGAGCACTTGGAGGTGTGGGCACTTCAGAAAATTTGACACACACCAGCACCAGGTTCCCCTCCTCATCAACTCTTTTCCTTTCACTCTAAGGTTCTATATATAATTAGACGAAACGGACCTTCCAGTTAGTAAGTTCGCGCTTTAACCACAGTTTTTTTCGCGCTGATAGATCGAACAATGCAAGTCAGAGCTTCGAAAGTCGAGCTGAGTTTCGTCCGGACAGACCACATCGTCAACTTCGGAAAAAGCACAGTGCCTTCACCGACTTACAGTTAATCTTATTCTTTGCTGAAAACCGGTGCCTGCTCTAAAATAGTGACACACTAAAAGCTTTGTACGTTAACCCTTGTAGCTAAGAGTTGGCTTGTAGTAGGTTTTCCCCAGAATTCGCCACATCAAGTGAGCATGACTGTCCTCATTCTCACTTCTAGTTGTTGTTTGTTATTGATATGAACACAGATAAACCTTGTCCCACCCCCCAAGGATAATCGATAGTAGACATCGAGTATGGAGGCAATACAGTTGCCGGATCATCCCCTAATCAGACGCAATGTCGAATAAACCAAACAACGCCGTTGCAGGATTTGATACACGCTCCTAACGTGCGAAGTGCTGCTTTGATGCTAACTGGGAGCAAACTCAAACCTAATGCTCTCAGATGAACCTGTGGTTTCCATTAGATGTTCCTACTTGTTTCTGATTACTCCGCACAGTTTTTAAGCACACATATTCCCAGCCATCCACACAGTGCCGTGCACACAAACACAGACGCACGCGTGCGCTAGCACTATCAGTTTATCAATTCATTCGGTTTGATCAACACTCAACTATGGACTCCGTTATTAATCGATCGCAATTCAGTAGCACTTAAGCGAGTGTGGCCTGATATGCGGACGCCCGGCTCTTGATTGGGTACAAAAAACCTCATCGTGGCAAACTGAAGAGGATCGGATTACACGAGCCAGGTATGCAGCCGCGTTAACTTTTGATACGCATTAGACGCGGATTTCGATCGTTCACTAACAGACTGAGTTTGACACTGCCTTGCCATATGTTACACTTTGATTAAATTCGTACGTAAGACTGGCATACTGATCTTGAATCCTCAGCAAAAGTTAATCACCTGATTCAGACTCTCTCACCTAGTTGTAGTGTACATTGATGGCTAACATCAGACTGGTTTCGTTTTTCCGAGGCAACTGTCTCTCGAAAAGAACTTGCAGATACGGTAGAAACGGTCAAGAGTGTTTCTTTATTTCATCCGAGGACCAGATCACGTGTCGATTCCACCGGTCCCCAAGAGTCGCATCAAACAAAGAAGAAAATCATTAGTTTGACTTTTCAAGCTTACTGAATGCAACCCGTACCAGTAGAACTTATCGCTAAATGCAGAAATATACCAATGTGTCGAACTCAGGAGCAAGCTACCAGTGCAATGGCATACACTACACAGAACGAATTCGGCCCTGGATCTACCTTGAGAAGGTGAAAGAAAGGTGCCGCGAGGGACACCCCAGCAGAGGAGTTTGACACAGCAGCCGAGCGCCAGGAGGCTATGGGGCGGTTCAGGGCAGTTGGGGCCGGACAGTTGTTCGGTCTGCAGAAGTGGCTGGTCCAAGCTTTGGTGACAC